TTCCCTCCCTCCCTCCCTCTCTCTCTCTCTCTCTTTCTCTCTCTCTCTCTCTTTCTCTCTTTCTCTCTTTCTTTCTTTTTTTCTTTCCTCCCTCCCTCTGAGATGGAGTCTTGCTCTGTTGCCCAGCCTGGAGTGCAGTGGCATGATCTCAGCTCAATGCAACCTCTGCCTCCTGGGTTCCAGTGATCCTCCTGCCTCCGCCTCCTAAGTAGCTGGAACTACAGACATGTGCCAGCAGGCCTGGCTACTTTTTGTATTTTTAGTAGAGACAAGGTTCACCCTGTTGCCCAGGCTGGTCTCAAACTCCTGACCTCAAGTGATCTGCCTGCCTCGGCCTCCCAAAGTGCTGGGATTACAGGCATGAGCCACTGCTCCTGGCCCAGACCTAGTTTTCTTAACAGAGTTAATAAGATAAACTGTGTATGATGCCCTGCCAGGCATTCAACAGCTGGAAGCAATTCTGGTGCCTACTTGGCCCCAAGAGGTGGAAATTCTGTATGCACACATACAACAGGCCTTAACACACCGTGGCCAGGTTCATCATGACAAAACTACAGAATTAGGGAGGGGCTTACAAATTCCTTTTTGGTTTTCAAAAGCTTTGGCTTTCTTGCTAGCTTCCTTAGTCTTGCTAGCTTTAAAGAGTCTGGGTCCTCACTCCTACCGTTGCATGTGCCATATCATCCCGCATGGCTCTGTTCTGCAGTATTTCCAGGAGACGAGCCTCCTGAGACTGGCAGGAAGGAGAACATGCTCATGGAACCACATGCACTATTTTAAGAACAGATGCTACCAGCTCAACTGACTCAGACTCAAGTGCATGTCCTGCCGGGGCCAGAGAACGGCTCTCACTGCCATTTTGTCTCTTCAGTCTGATGGTTCAGAATCACAGCAGGTATTAATAAACCTAGGGGGCATAGTGACTATGTTATAGAGTTCAGCTGGTAAGGATGAGATCTTTATAAGAGAACTGATCTCAAGATGTGATTATAAGAAGCAAGCATAGGCATTTTATCTTCAACATGCAAGCCTTAACCTCACTATAAATGTTTCTGTTTTGTTTTGTTTTGGTTTGGTTTTTTTTGAGACAGAGTCTCACTCTGTAGCCCAGGCTGGAGTGCAGTGGCGCCATCTCGATTCACTGCAAACTCTACCTCCCAGGTTCACGCCATTCTCCTGCCTCAGCCTCCCAAGTAGCTGGGACTACAGGCACCCGCCACCACGCCTGGCTAATTTTTTGTATTTTTAGTAGAGACAGGGTTTCACCGTGTTAGCCAGGATGGTCTCAATCTTCTGACCTTAGGATCCGCCCGCCTTGGCCTCCCAAAGTGCTGGGATTGCAGGCGTGAGCACCGTGCCCGGCTAACCTCATTATAAATTTTAAACTCATCCAGGCATTTTGTATTAGTGCAAATCATAGCTAAAATATAATCCATCCACTAAAACCAATGAGTGGTATATATTCAATAATGCAATTTCTTCAATCTCATTATATAGTTTATTTACTAAGAGTTTGCCATCTACTAAGTGGACACTATCCAATGTGACATCCAAATTCTGAGTTGAATCAATGGTTAGTAGAGAAATTCGTAAATTACGACCAAGATATTTAAATTTTTAAATCTAATTTTATGTTGAATGGAGCTTTTTTAAAGCTTGAAACAGTCTAAATGATCTTTAACATTAAGATGAGTTATTATTCTTTTCCTTTCTTTTTGGTCCTAGGTGTATTGAGTTCTTAGCAGGAACACAACAAATAGAAGATCAATTATAAAACAGAATAATGAGAATGATGTTCTTCCTCTTTATTAGCCTCTGGTATGAAGACATAATTCTCAAACTGTCAGGGCTAAGCTGTCCCATTGATAAAATGGGAATGAATAATGGCCGGGCGCGGTCGCTCACACCTGTGATCCTAGCACTTTGGGAGGCCACAGCGGGCGGATCACGAAGTCAGGAGTTCGAGACCAGCCTGGGCCAACAGTGAAACTCCGTCTCTACTAAAAATAAAAAAATTTAAAAAATTGCCAGGCATGGCAGTGTGTGCCTGTAATCCTAGCTACTCGGCAGCCTGAAGCAGGAGAATTGTGTGAACCCAGGAGACGGAGGTTTCAGTGAGCCGAGATTGCACCATTGCATTCCAGCCCAGGTGATAGTGCAAGACTACGCCTCAAAAAAAAAAAAAAAAAAGAATAGTATCAATTTTTAAAATTCTTCCATTTTAGAACATAAAGCAACATTGTAATAGCCAATTACTATAAATGACAAAAAATAGTGAGTGGCACTGATGCTTAGAGAGAAAATAATACCTACCGATTTAGAATTTCTAGGCTCCAGCACCAGTGACAGTTTGTAAATATCATCTTCAGTGTGATAGAGGTCGAGGGAAAGCTACAACAAAATTAAAACGGATAAATATGTTGGATTACATTTATTTATTTATTTACGTTGCTGAATTTTTGTTCAGGTTGAATGTTTAAGTTCACTGTCTAATACAGGAATTTGAGTAAATGCAGAACAATAAAAAGACAGCATGCAGAGATGGAAAATGAACTTTAAAAGAGAAAACGTTAATCCTGGTTAATCATCAGTATGGACGAGAACCATCAACTCAATTCCTCAGCAATATTTACTGAGCAGCTCCCAGGTGCTCAGTGCTGAGTCACAGATGAGGGCTACCTGATGTTTCCAGGCTGGAAGCGGGGACAGATGCAAACAATAAGACTTGTAAATATAATAAATGCTGCCTTTGAGGTTTGATTAAAGAACTGTGGAAATAAAGGAGCAGTTAACTAGACTCCTATTATTTGAGAGCGTTGTGCTAAGTCCTAGTGAGGCAAGCTGATATAAAATCATTCCTTGCCCTCAAGCGCCTGATAATTTATTTGAATAAATAGGGCCTGAACCTAAAAAAGTGTGTTCATAGCAATAAAAGGCAGCACATGCTGAGTATGAAGTAGTTGCTCCACTTTAAGTGCTCCAGGAATCGGTCAGAAATCAGGGAGGCAGCATAGTAAATACACGAGGGCAGAGGCTGTGTAGTCAGGCAGGGCTGGGTTCAAGCATGGAGCCTGCCACTGGCTAGCTGTGTAACCTTTAGCAAGTAATTTCCTCTCTGACACTCAGTTACCACATCTGGAAAATGGAAATGATCATAAAAGTCCCTACTGAGTTGGATTTGTATCAAGACCAAAAATGAAATAACACATGTAAAGTATTTCACACAGGACCTGGTACACAGTAAAATCTCAAGAAGTGTTATTTTGTAGTGTTAATGTTACTGTGTTATTATCGTATTTGCTATTTGTTATACTATTATTATGCATAGGGGCCACTGGAGACGGAAATGATCAGGATGGATTCATGGAGGTCCTTGTGAACCGGGACTTAACCAGGGGGACTGGGACGGAATCTAGACAAAAGAGAGAGGAAGATCATTGTAGGCAAGGACAACACAGATCCAGATAGGAGAACGTGGATAAACTCTGTAAAGCCCTACAATGCATGTTCTCACTCACCTAAAACAGAAGTCATGAGGTTAAAATAAGCCTGAACAATTCCCACCTACTCCTTTAAAGCTAGAACACTCCATGGATCACATCACTTCCCCGGCCATGAACATAACCAGTGCCGGCTCCCTTCTTTGACCATGTAGGAATGAAAAATGTTCTTTAACATATTTTATCTAATGTGTGTATGAGAGTGGAGTGAGGGGGAAAAGAAAGAAGGAGGAAGCCAGAGAAAACTCAGAGGTGAAGATGTTTTCAAAGATTCCTTTTCCTGTTCTATTTCCTTTAAAAAAGAAGTTGGCATCATAAAATTTCATTTTCAAATCATTCACTCAACAAATATTTATCAGTAATCTACTATGTGCCAGGGACTGTTATAGTCACTGTTCTAGCAGCTGCTTGAATGTAACATTTAAATTAAGGACTTCATAATCAGGTCACGTTTCTTTTACCTGCACTTTGTCACGAAGTTTTTTTTTCTAAACAAAATAAAACTGATTTAACTGTGAAATTTCCCCAGTATCATGTCAAGATCATGACAATCCTGCTTACAAAAAAGAGACATGGTATTCACCTTCCCCTGAACAGCAATCACTCCTACCTCCCGGGCTCTGCCTTGTTACAGGAAAGGAAACCTCGACATGTCACAAACAAATGCCTTTGGGAGCCATTCCATTATATAAAAGAGTCGAGTAGGATGTGTGAAAGGTGCATTTTGATAGAGACACTGGTACCACAACGTCTTATTTGGAAAACAGTCTTTGCAGATGTAATTTATTTAGGGATCTCTCCTCTTAGCGCCACAATTAAAAAAAAAAAAATTGTGATGATAAATAGGACCTGACACCGCTCTCCGTTAGGGAAGTCACAGGGAGAGGTGTGGTTTGTGATGAACATCGCTACTCAGCAATGACAAATTGCTGTCAGCCTAACATTGGACCTTGAGTTGCCAAATCTTCTGATTTGTTCAGAGAAGCCAGAAATCTGGAGTTTTAGATAAACTATCCCAATTTTTAAACACTGGGAACTAACTAACAACAAAATTTTATGATTCCATATGGACCACATAAAATACATCAGCCGTGGGCAGTTGTCTACTATTTTGTAATTCCCACAACAGACAACTGCACCAGGCTCTCAGTCTCATGAAAATGGGCAGCACATCTGTCTTTTGCACCTCTGTATCCCCTGTCCCAGCTTGCAGCCTCGCACTGTGAAGGTTACATAAAGAGAGAAAACCGAGTGACTCCTTCCTTCTGAATTCCTTGTTATCAGGAGTTAGTGCAGACTTGGAGGAGTATGTTCCTTTCCTCCTGACTCAGCTTCCAAGTCCTGTGATCACTGGCACCAGCATCTGCTGGAGATGAGATGACAGCAGCACTACCACTGCCAACCAAGAATCCAAATTAGCCACACACTAAGGCGGGGAGATGCTCTTTCAAGAGAAACAGAACATCCTTGGGTATTTCCATGTGTCAAATGGATAACTGGCTCAGCGATGGAAATGTTTTGGTAGTCTCCAAATACTTGCTCTCTGCTTATTAGTAGTGCGAGCCTGGACATGCAATTAACCTTCTTGAGTCTCAGTCTCCTGATCTGTGAAATGGGAATCATAAATAATAGCTGCCTCCAAGAACTATGGTGAAGATTAAATGAGCTAATGGGTGTCTGACTAGAGTTTGTTTAGAAGGTCACAAATGCAGGGTTTGGCTTCCAGTCAATGCACGAGTCAAATGCCACTGTGCTTATCCATGAATGTAAAGCTGCCACTTGGGGTTACTCCTAGCATCGCTTCTTTCCCAGCCATGATTCTACTTCCTCTCTCAGATCTCCTCCGGGCTTTACGGACCTGCCCAAAGAGTGATCTGTTCTACTTTCTACACACCTTTTTTATAATATGGGCTGCTCATCAATGGAATTTCAAGAACATTTGCTTTTGTCAAACATATTTTGAGCCTGGCTGGTTTTTTCTGACAAATGTTCCGATCCACTGTGTCAAGTTGTTGCATTTACCAACCTATCCTTTCAGCAAAGCTGGTTGCAGATTCAGTCTTCAGTAGGATCTACATTGGCTTGACTGTTTATCATAAAATAAAACACACCTGGACGTCAGACTGCCTCTACTCACCATTTTTGAAACTCTTCTTATTCTTCTTCTTCTTTTTTAAAAATGAGACTAAAATTAAAAATACAGGGGCTTTCCAGTTATTTGCATGTACTCAAAATGGTAAAAAGTAACTGATAGGGCTAAAAATACCATGAAAAGATTCAGACTATTTCATACCCCATGCAACAGAAGCATCAGCTTGTAAAACTCCTGGTTACGTGAATTGGGATGTAAGGGAAATGTCCTCTTCAGATATTCCCTGAAAAGAGGAACAATACGAATCCCAACAGTTTGGTGGCGTGGTCCTCCTTCCCTCAACATGCCTGGTGCCGTATTCAAGGGGCCAAGGATACAATGATAAAAATGACAAACAAAGCTCCTACCCTCATAGATTTTGTCCTGTAATTACTTCCTTTACTGCACATCATGAAGAGGGGGAGAGAATTGTATTAATTAATTTTTACAGATGTGAAATAAATTAGATGTCAGCAATGTGCCCACATGAGAGAGCAAATGTCCATTTGAGGGGAACCTGGCCCAGGCTGCGATGCAGAAGGTTACTCCCTGTCCTTTGTAAATCTCAGTTTCTTCTTTTGTTTAAAAAAAAAAAAAAAAAAGGACGGGGCAGGGGTGATGTTACATTCGCAGCCCTGCCCAGGCTGCATTGCAGGGTGTGTGTGAGAATTTACTGAGGAAATGTATGTGAAAAGTGCTGTGAAAATTGTAATCAACTATTACAGAAAGTTAAAGCACTGCCCTACAGCCTACCACACAGAGTAGGCATTTCATAATTGTTGATGAACTTAAGGCTTCTCTTTTTCTGTCCTCCAGGGCTGTCCATCATATACAGGCGACCTCAGCTGGGGCCATATTTAGATGAAAACAATCACTTCAGGTGAAAATTTAGAGTCCTGGGGCAAAATGAATCACCCCTTCCGATGCTGGCATGTGGACGCCTTCACATGCATTGGGGCAGCTGTGGTCAGCCATATGATTCTAATCCAGATATGTGTGTGCTTCATAAAACGGCCGCTGCGCTCTAGTGACCACAAGATAGAAGACTCCTCGGTCCTCATGTTGAGGAGATTAACTCCTCAGGAGTCAGGAAGAATGAATGTATGCTGCTATGCACTAAACTTTCTTCTTGGCTGTGTGGGGAGAGAAAGGATCTCAGCTTGAAGTTTGGTGACTCATACACAGGATTGTGCTATCGTGATGAGCTATCGGGCTGGTACTACAGAATCAAGTTGACTCTTGGTTCCTTATTCTCAAGACTCCACCGGTTCTCACATCTAGAATCCTAGAAGTTTAGAGCTGGAAGAGACCTCACAAATGAGCATAAAACACCTATTTTAAAAAAGCCAAAGACAAGGCTCTTAGCAAGGAGAAAAAGCCAAGCAACTGCAGAGGGAAGGCTGAAAGCAAGGTCTCCCACCTAGGATTCTGCCACTACACTATGCTACCCAACACTGCATTTACTAAATACGGTGCTTGATGGCTTCTAAGTTTTCCTTCAATATGAGAGAGAGAGAGAAAGATTCTTCCCCAGCAAAAAGGAATTTTTTTCTTAGCCTTTATTTCTAGAGTTCAGATTTTTTTCATTTGTACTCCTGAAGTTTTATTGAAAATCCTTCAATATTTCTCTAAATATCTCTTTGTCGTAATGTTGCTTGTTTCATTTATAACTCAAATTAATTTCTCTACCCCATTATTATCTTTTGTCTCTATGAGAAATTGCCCAAGGGTAGGCACCTGCTCTCTGAAGTTATGCTTGACATCGTGGACAGCTTGGACACAGACACTGGAAGCCTAGGCTCCACACGGAGACGGGTCTGCAGACATCACCTGCAGCTGTGGGTCTGCAGTCTGATTGGGGCTGCAACTCTGGTCACTCATTCATGGAAACATATTTACATGGCAAATCATTAATAAATGCAGGTGCTTCATATACACCATGGAATACTATGCAGCCATAAAAAAGGATGAGTTCTGTCCTTTGTAGGGACATGGATGAAGCTGGAAACCATCATTCTCAGCAAACTATCGCAAGAACAGAAAACCAAACACTGCATGTTCTCACTCATAGGTGGGAATTGAATAATGAGATCACTTGGACACAGGAAGGGGAACATCACACACTGGGGCCTATTGTGGGGAGTGGGGAGGGAGGAAAGATAGCATTAGGAGATATATCTAATGTAAATGACAAGTTAATGGGTGCAGCACACCAACATGGCACATGTATACATATGTAACAAACCTGCACGTTGTGCACATGTACCCTAGAACTTAAAGTATAATCATAATAAAATAAATAAATAAAGAAATGCAGGTGCTTGAATTATTGTGAGTTGTGTTTCCCACCCCCAGTAGAGAAAGTCTGCATATTTACTATTTGTCACAAAAACTCATCTTTAAGAGAGCTGTGTTTCTGTGTGTTGGCCACTTCTGCTTTATTTGAAGGGCATAGCTAGCATTATTGCCTACGCTTAGGGGTTTATTCTTTGGTAAACAATTACATGCTCTCGGAACAGTTTGTGAGAAGGGCGAGAAACCACACTCCTATGCCAATGCAGCAGACCTAGGGGATTTAGGCTCTCAGAAATTAAGAGGAGTTATTGGTTTCATTTTCCACAGCCATACAAGGAAAACAGTTAATTCAGTATTGCAGCTGAGTTTCAGATGCTACAGTGTTATAAACCCAAACAGGGAAGTTGTACCTTTACTTTTGTTTAAGGAAGGGCGAGTGAATTTTGTTATGCCTCTTCTTCCCACAAAGCAGCAGCTAGTGGGAAATGTTCTCTTCTATACACCTGTTGTGTCTAGAAGTTCTAGGATGCGGAGACCAGCTAAACATGTGTGCCACAAATGCCAAAAAAGTATGAGTGGTAGGTGAACTTCTTTTCCTAAGCCACATCACTCCTAAATACAGCATGCAGTTCATTTATTGAGTTCCTAAATATGCCAGGAACTGTGAGAGGTGCGAGGGATATGATATGTAAGGCAGGTAAACAGAAAAAAATTGAATTCAGAGTGACTCCTCCTATAGTTAAGGAAAATATAAAGTGCCAGGGTGACATGTGACAGATGCATGACTGCTTTGGAGGGGGAGAGAGAATGCTCCAGAAAGACAGGCTTTTGAATTTGAACTCGCCATATGGATGGGTAGGGATAGGATTCTCCAAGAAAGTGCAAAGGCCAGAAAGCAGAAGGCAGCATTTCATGGAGTGCAAAGTACAAGAAGTTCAGTATTTCTCAAAGGCTGGTAAAATGTGGGAGAGGGTGATGGCAAAGAAGGCTGGGCTGACGGTTGGAGACTGAGTCTTCAAGAACCTTGAATGCCAGTCTGTAAACTACATCCTGGAGGTTTGGGAGGTTCGCAATGGGAAGAGGGGGATCACAGAGAAGGTCCTTGCATTACTCCAGGCTTCAGCTAAAGCAGTGCAGTGAGGATAAAGAGGAGCAGATGACCGGAGGACATACAGAAGGATGTGATGAGTTGGACGAATGTGGTGAAGGAGAGCGAGGGCTGAGACACAGTCTGGAGGAGCTTCTCTAAGAACGCCAGAAGTGGAGTCATACGGCAGAGATTGGGCCCCTCTGAACAAAGGTAGATTTCTTTGTCCCAAGATTTGCTGGTTATGGAAAATACTAATCAGGGTTCCTTTTCCCTTGTCCTATGAGATTTCCTCTCATCTATTGACTCTGAAACCAATTTTCCTCCAGAATGAATTGCTGGCACACATCTTCCTATGTCTCCTGGAAAGAAAGGTGCAGAAGAGTTACAGAGCCCAAACTTGGCTCCTTGGAACTCACCGTGAGCAGGTTGATCAAATCCATGTTGGGTTCTAGGTGGTGAGAGGCATTCTGCAGGGAGACTAGTTCACTCAGAGTAACGGAGAGCTGGTGCATTTTCACAATGTTCACTTTGTTCTCCTCTGTCCAGTCTGGGAAAATGACATGGACTGCTATCAAGTCTTTCAAGTGTACTCCAAGGATGGGGATTTTGAAGCCATCACAGTCGGCAAAGGCCTTGCGGTAATTGCAGTAATTACCGTTGGAGGAGACCAACTCTGTCATTTCATTCCAGTTCTGGGAACAGATGGAAAAGTAGAATTTTCAAACAGCTTTTTCCCTTCTGCACACCCCCAGGCCCTGCAATGTGTGGCTAGGAAATTCCTCAGCTACTGAGAAAAGTATCACTTGCACCAATGTTGCTACAGGGAAATATTAATCAGGAAAAAGAAAGTTAGAAAACGTACTAGGCCTGGCTACGCATTGAGCAGCCAGTTCCATTTTGCTATAAAACGGAAATAGCCTACACGTCTGCCTACCTACTAGAGATGTTGGGATATTAAATGGCATCATGTATTCTTAAGTGTTTGGGAATTTATGAAAATATTACTGTCCACAAATTCAAGCATGTCGAATATTAAAATTTTTTAGTTGTTCCAAGAAAGTTGCATTCCAGATATTACTTGAGGTTAATCTGGGACACGGTGGGGTAGGGAAAGTTGCAATGCGTTATGAGATAGCTGTGGTTCTATATTCTGCCTAACTAGAAGGGTGACCTTGAACAAGTCACTTCACTTCTTTGGGCCTCGGTTTCTTTCTCTATAAGTAAGAGAAGTTCCAATAAATAATTTTAAAAGATACACTGGTAGTTCTCCAAGCCTCTATAAGCTTCTATCAGATTCTTATTCTTTACAACATTTAAAATTTGTTTTTGCTTTTTACTTGAGATTTGATACAAAGCTAAAAGAAAATGAAATACTGATTACCTAATACGTTCCATTATACTTGGAATGAGTACAGAGTTTGAGGTCAAACAACAGTACTTCTGTCGTTTACTACTTCCTCTTGTTTATGTGGACAAGTTATTGTTGGTTGCTTCACAGTAACCAGGCATGGTCTTTCTAGTAGACCCCGATTTTAATTAGTCTACTCTCTCCCAAAGCAGCCGTTGTGACTCAGACAGAGCTGTTTCCATTTCCAGGACCAAGAATGGGTTCTGATTTATCATCAGAGTAATTGCATCCCTCTAGTTTGTGACCAGTTCAGGAACTCAGGGTTAAGCCAATCAGTACGTCGTATTCCTCTGGCAACTGTTATTGGTCCAGGGATGGGCTTAAGACCTGAGTTGGCTCAAAAGATCTTTAATTCTATGCGTGAAGAGTTGAAGTGAGAAGTCTTCCCTATCTTCAGCTCTCATGAACAAGGGAACATAATTTTTTGGTTGCTACAGACAGCCCAATTAGGAGAAAAACCAGTTTGATGAAACAAACAAAAAAACAAAACTCTCTAATACTCAGAGGCAGGCAGAGACCCTGAGTCAGGGGTCTGATCAGACCGTGCCTGCTCTGTCTTTGGACTTCCAGGTATGTCCCCCAGGGTAGAGTGCAGTGGTATGATCCTGGCTCACTGCAGCCTCAAACTCCTGGGCTCAAACGATCATTCCACCTCAGCCTCCCAGATAGCTGGGACTACAGGCACACACTGCCACACCTGGCTAATTTTTTTTTTTTTTTTTTTTTTGGTAGAGACAGGATCTAGTTATGTTACCCAGGCTGATGTCAAACTCCTGGCCTCAAGCAATCCTCCCACCTCCACCTCCCAAAGTACTGAGATTGCAGGTGTGAGCCACCACGCCTGATGGACAATACATTTCCTGATTGTTTAATTGCTGTAGAAGTTTTTTTCTTTTTCTTTTAAACTCACAGCTAAAAGTGTCCATATTGAAATAACAAAGTGCACTCTTACGTGACAATCTTTTCATAAGGATGAAATGCTCCTTTTTGCTCAAGAAGAAAAAGAGAACTATCATGTCATAAAAATAAATATGGCAGAAAGCTCAGTTTGGAAAATGATCACTTTTTTTTAATATATATACATATTTTTTTTTCATGACAATTCAGTTCTAAATCTGAGGATTTGTATACAAGGCCTATGTCTTCCCTTTTCTATCTTTTGATGTGCCCAACACAGTGTTATGAATAAAGTAGTCATTCAATGACTTTATTTTAGGAGGTAGGGTAGGAACTATTTCTGTCTTATTTACTTTGTGTATCACAGTGCCTATCACATAGTAGGACCAAACAGATACCTGTTAAATATGTTGGGTTTTTTTTTTGTTGTTTTTTTTTGTTTTTTTTGAGACAGAGTCTCCCTCTGTTGCCCAGGCTGGAGTGCAGTGGTGTGATCTCAGCTCACTGCAAGCTCCGCCCCGCAGGTTCACGCCTTTCTCCTGCCTCAGCCTCCCGAGGAGCTGGGACTACAGGTGCCCGCCACCTCGCCCAGCTAATTTTTTTGTATTTTTAGTAGAGATGGGGTTTCACTATGTTAGCCAGGATGGTCTCGATCTCCTGACCTTGTGATCCACCCACCTCGGCCTCCCAAAGTGCTGGGATTACAGGAGTGAGCCACCACACCTGGCCACCACTACAATATGTTAATGATATTCAAAGCATTCTTCCTGGGACACTTACCACCACCTCCAACCTGTTTTTCCAGGTGAACTCAGCTGGTGTGGTTATTCCCTTTCTACTTTGTCCCCATGTATAAACTACCACTGGTTTAAGAGAAAAACTTTCCCCCTCTGAGTGACATTTGTTAGGCGTACACTAAATCTGAACAATTTACAAATGCATTTTTTTACTTTTAACTAGGATCAAATCTACTGTACCTTTGTAACTTCTGAAGAAAGATGAGAATGCGTCTCTTTGAGGCGTGAAATGGAACTATGACTGAGGCCTCCCACCACTGCCATCAGGGTGTTAAAATTTTTGAGCTGAAGGAGCTTCTGCAATAAAAATGCATCAATGCTTTTTAAGGATTTTTAAATTAGTCTAAACTTTCTGAATTACAAGTACATTTATGCACAATTTTAATAACAAGAAGCTAATGAAAAAATTACATCAATTTAAAATGAAGCACAAATAGAATCAGAGAAATATATCTATTACTTCACAGAAAAATAGCTACGTTAAATGCTTCTAAGCATTGCTTTTTGAAAGCAATCTTCTTGCATGGCAAAAATACGATTTGTTCATTAGACATCAGCAAGTAGTTTAGTTGTCCAGTGCTCTTATACTGTGAACACCACATTTCTTCAAGGACTTTTCTCAACAGAGTGAATGAACATCTAGAACTCAAAAACCCAGTCTGATTACCAGACATACCTTTGCAACATTGATAAACTTTGTGATGACTTCTGCCCTTTGCTGGGGGGTTGGTTTGCTAAGAACCATCAATTGGACCCACTTAGAGATTCCATTAAATAAAGCTATCGATCTTTCCAAAGTTGGATTATTCTCCAGGCAGCCATGGATGACATAGCTTTGGTAATCAGTGAACTAGGAAAGGAGGATTCAGAGATTCTGAATTATAATGTAAAATCAGAAATTAGAATATTATATAGAAGAGGTAAGATATTGTTTCATAACAACAGAATAATTTCTTTTATTTCACATTTACAATGGCATCCTAAAAGTCTGAATATACATGTGTCTTTAAAATATTATTTTGCTGTTTTTCAAACCCCACTACTCACCCCATGCACAGACACCCACTACTACACATCACAGCTTTGGTGGGAGGAGAAAGAGGCAAGATTCAAAGTGGTATTCCAATGAGTTCAAAATTTACTGGGTCATAAGATCCACCTGTGGCACTTGGTAAAATGCCGGTTCCTGGGAACACCCTAGGTGTAAACGATCACTATCTTCAGAAGAAAAACCAAAGAATCTCCTTTTTTTTTTTTTTTTTTTTTTAGACAGAGTCTCACTCTCTTTGCCAGGCTGGAGTACAGTGGCATGATCTTGGCTGACTGCAATCTCCGCCTCCCGGGTTCAAGCGATTCTCCTGCCTCAGCCTCCTGAGTAACTGGTACTACAGGTGCAAGCCGCCAGGCCTGGCTAGATTTTTTTGTATTTTTAGTAGAGATGGGGTTTTGCCATGTTGGCCAGGATGGTCTCGATCTCTTGACCTCATGATCCGCCCACCTTGGCCTCCCAAAGTGCTGGGATTAAAGGCGCGCTGGGCCAAGAATCTCCATTTTTAACACACTGTTGGTGATTCCAATCAGGCAAGTTAAAGATACAATGGTATACAATGAAGAGGAGGAAATGAACACAAATATAATGATTTCAAATTAGCATCAGTTGTAAAGTTGTTTCAAGAAAAAAGAAGACAGAGGAAAAAAAAATCAATTGAAGTAAGGCTGCTCTTTAGCAAGACAAACACATTTTCAGAATGTTAGCATGGAGATCAAAAAATACATATGAACTTTCTATCATATAAACAGTGCAGGGGACTCCGTCCCATGGCCTGCCTGCGGGGAATCGTTAAGGTACTCTCCAAGTAGGATTACTTAGTGAAAGAATCAGTCTTTCAGAAATTCATGCTTCTAACCAAGACAGTCGTCTTTGCAAGCAATAATGTAATTCATTCTCCGACACCTTGGAAAAGGAGAAGGAGGAGGCGCAACTTCCCCAGAGCTTGGCGAGACAAAGCAAAGTGGTTAGCTGATTGTGAACCAATGTGGAAAATGTTATCATAACAGGAGGATAGAGAGCAGGAGGCTAAGAAATCACAGACCAGAGAAAGAAAAGGGGGAGTTAGAGAAGGAATGAGGCTCCATCAAGATGAGTAGGAAAGAAAAGTTTAATTCAGGATCTCTATCTCTGGGAAAGAAACAACCTGATGTTGAGATTCTCCTTAAAGTCTACAATTCCTGTTTTCAACCTACACCCATAATTAGCCATTTATACAAATCCGAACCTAACTAAATATTTTTTCCCAAAAACGAAGGGCCTAGCAAAACATGTTCACTTGGGAGAAGTCAATGGAGCTAAATCAACCTTGAATGGTTAAATCTCCACTGACTATTTAGAAAAATCACGCTTTAATCCTATGAAAGGAGACATTGAAAATAGCGACAGAAATATAGCTCCTGAGCCATAAAATAAAGACAGGATAATATTTATCTTTGGTTAAAAGGGATTGTTCCTGTGAATTAAGGGCACTTTTCCAGCAGAGCACAGTGATAGAAGCTGCCAACACTTCAGAGTATGAAAATGCAGCTCTTGGGAAAGTTGGCATTGTGGTTGTTATCCTTGGAAGAATAAATGTCAAGTTTCTTACTGAGATCCTTCTAAAAGATTTATGCTCCAGAAAAGTGAGGTGCTCAGCCAATTCAATGGGCTCCAGATGGTCAAACAGCAGACAGGCTTTTCCCTTCTTGGATACTTTTTTCCTCTGTGTGACTCTTCTCATCCAGTCATAGGAAGGACTATAAAAGAAGAGTGAGTCCGGTCAATGTGTTGAAAGCCCATTTCACTCAATGGAAGTTATTAACCTACTGACTCTGTAACTCTTGGCTTGCTTCCAGGGGCTTGTGCAAAATACATGCCCTGTCTTTCATATTTGAAGAGAAAACCACTGACCAATTGCCAATAGAACATAAACTTGGAGTTGTTTTTCCAGACAGAGTAGGTTTTGCACTGATCCATCCAGAATCTCTTACTTAGTCTCTTTGTGACCAGCAAGGTCTGGATCATAAAGGAAAGGTCAGGGCTAGTATATAAATTTGGGAGTTTATCAGGATATAGATGGTGATTTAAGGCACATGGAAACCACTAGAAGCTGTGGTTCTCATACTTTAGTATAACATGAATTATCTGAAAAGCTTGTTATAAAGACAGACGCCTGGGCCTTACTGCCAGAGGTTCTGATTTATTAGGAATGATCTTGAATAATACGTTTTTTCACCAAACATCCCTTATAATTCCCGGATCATTCACTATTGATTACTATTGAAGAAGTATTCAATAGTAATCGACAGTGGAAAACAGAGATACCTAACACACAAGAACATACATTTGCAAGATGGATAACCATATTTAGGATCATCAAATAGTCTTCCCTGTGCAAAGTTACCTAGTTGATACGAAAGTGGCCTAACTGCACCAGTTACCTAATAACTGAGCTAACCAGCTCCTGACATCTATGGTCAACCACCATAAGGTTGTTGTTCTGAGGCCAACCTCAGCAGCACCATGGTACAGAGCTTCTCAAGCTTGCATGTGAATCACTTGGGGATCTTTAAAGTGTGGATTCCAATTCAGGTTTAAGGTGGAGCCTAGAGGTTGCATTCCTAATGAGCTCCCAGGTGATGCTAATGTTGCTGGTCTGCAGACCACACTTTGAGTAGTGAAGGCATAAGAGATGTTAACTAGATTCAGACTCAGTAACTCATACCGAGCGTCTATTGTGTGCCAAATGCTTTCATGCACTATCTTATGTCCTTATTGGATGTTCATAATAATCCCACGAGAAAGGTACTGTCCACATTTTACAAGTAAAGAAACTGCAGCTTGGAGAGATGAGTTGTGTCCAACACGGCTTGTACTCACTGCAGCAAGGCTTTTCTCACAGAAGCAAACCTAGATTCAGGAGTGGGATGGACTCAGGACAAGTGGGGTGATCACTACTTCCTCCCCTAAGCAGTGGACTCATCGAGTGTGAAAGACGTTGGTGCCACTCTTACATGCTGGATATGTCGATGAGGCTGACGTGTTTTTCATATCCTAGTTGACTAGCTACTTCCCGGAATTCCTCAGTCATACGAATCAAACCAAGATCCAAATTAAACTCTGCAGGAAATTTCAGAATCCAGTACCTGAAAGGCATCAAATATTTTTGGCAGCTGGAATATTTCAAGTTGGATATCTATGGAAACGATTGTACCATTTTACAGACTACATTTAACACTGAACCCAGGACCATACTTCAAATTAGCCATCTCCTATCTCCAAATCCCCATCCATCACGTGGAGCCTCTCTCTGCCCTCCTTCTATCTCAAACCACTCCCATTCATAGCCTCTCTTTCAGTTGAGAGGAAACCCTTCCTTCAAGTCATGGTGAGTAGGTGGGAATGGGTGTGGCGAGGGAGTAGAAGAAAATAAATCCACCCTTTCTAAGTGCTAGTTTCATTCCTTAATCACATTTACTACTACTTAATCTCTAGTGCAAAAGATAAAGTTTCCCCCACCCCACCCAACAGAGGAGGGCCAATTTTAACAAAGTTGGTGGGAGGGGTATCAGAGTAGACTCTGTTGTCAAACTAGGTCTGCAGCTTGGGGAAAAGGAAATTGTCAACAATTGCAGAACTAGAAACTACAACCGTGCCAGAACCAGAAGCTACAAGAAATCAAATTTGTAAATGTGTTTACCTCATGAAGTAGCAGATCTTTAATCGAAATTCATTGCAGCTTTCTCCAGTGGCATTTCGATATGTAAACCAGTTAAAGAAAAAATTCGTGCACCTCATTTCCTTTACACACACCTGCAGCTGTGCCCTCAACATATATCAATTCCTAGTAAGAGGACCATGCTGGGGACATTTGGGGTTATAAAGACACTCAAATACAGAGAGAAATGGCCTCTGATGACTTCGACACTGAACAATTGAAACTTGATTTATTATAGCTCTGGAATATATTTTTTTGGTCTGAAGGAGAAGCCAGTTACAAGATTAGTTTTGCCTTCCTCCACACTTAACTAATAACTGCCAATTGTAATTACAAATAGACTGGCAACTATACATAATTAAATTGATAGTACAGAGAAACACTATTTATTTTTATTATTATTATTTTTTGAGACGGAGTCTGGCTCTGTCACCCAGGCTGGAGTGCAGTGGTGCAATCTCGGCTCACTGCAAACTCTGCCTCCCGGGTTCACGTCATTCTCCTGCCTCAGCTTCCCGAGTAGCTGGGACTACAGGCGCCCGCCACCACGCCCGGCTAATTTTTTGTATTTTTAGTAGAGATGGGGTTTCACCGTGTTAGCCAGGATGGTCTCGATCTCCTGACCTTGTGATCGGCCTCCCAAAGTGCTAGGATTACAGGCGTGAGCCACTGCACCTGGCCGAGAAATACTGTTTTAACCAAAAAGATTTTGTATTTAGGATTAATGCCGTATACAGTTATGCACCACATAACGACGTTTCAGTCAAGGAAGGACTGCATATATGACAGTGGTCCAATAAGATTATAGTGGGATTGAAAAATTCCTGTTGCCTAGTGACATGGTAGCCAGCATAATGTTGTAACCCAATGCATTACTCATGTGTTTGTGGTGATGATGGTGTAAACAAATCTGCTGTTGTGTGAGTCATGTAAAAGTCTAGTATACACAGTCATGTACAGTATATGATACTTGATAATGAGAATAAATGACTGTTATTGGTTTATGGACTTACTATACTATTTTTTGTTGTAATTTTAGAGTACTCCTTTTACTTATGTAAAAAAAATTAAAAAGTTAACTGTAACACAGCCTCAGCAGGTTCTTCAGGAGTTATTCCAGAAGGAGGGATTGTTATCATAGGAGATGACAGCTCCATGCCTGTTAATACCCCTGAGACATTCCAGTGGAATAAGAGGTGGAGGTGGAAGACACTGATGTTGATGATCCTGAGCCTGTGTAAACCTAAACCTAGGCTAATGCATTTGTTTGTGTCTTTGCTTTTAATAAAAAAGTTTAAAAAGTAAAAAAAAAAAAAAAAATTTAATAGAATAAGTTTGTAGAATACAGATATTAAGAAAGAAAATATTTTTTACAGCAGTACAATATATTTGTGTTTTAAGGTAAGTGTTATTACAAAAGGATTAAAAAGTTTTTAAAGGTTTATAAAGTATAAAAGTTACAGTAAGTTAAAGTTAATTTATTATTGAAGAAAGAAAAATATTTTTATAATTTGGTGTAGCCTAAGTGTATAGTGTCTATAAAGTCTACAATATTGTACATTAATGTCCTAGGCCTTCACATTCACTCTCCACTCACTCACTGACTCACCCAGAGCGGATTCCAGTCTTGCAAGCTCCATTTGTGATAAGCACCCTATACAGGCGTACCACTTTTTATCTTTTATACCGTATTTTTACTATACCTTTTCTATGTTTAGATACACAAATACCCACTATTGTATTACAATTGCCTATAGAATTCAGTATAGCCACATGCAGTACAGGTTTGTAGTCCAGGATCAACAGGCTGTGTAATATAGCCTAGATGTGTAGTAGGCTATAGCATCTAGGTTTATATAAGCACACTCTATGACATTTGCAAAATCATGAAATCATCAAAATTTCCCCGCCGTTACGCTATGGGTACTATAGGTACTCTAATTTCTTCTTTAATATTTGAAAATGTCATTTTCAGGTACCTTAATACTCAGGTTATGTTATTTACTTGTAAGTGTATTTATTCATACTCTTTTAAACAAATATTTATTGAGCTTGTGTATATGCCAGGCACTGTGGATATAGCATGAGCAAGGAATCCAAAGGGAGGAAAATTTATAGAAATGTTGATTCACAGGCGGTCTTCAACTTTCCCACATTAAATGTTACTATGCCTAAATATCCCTTTTTATTTGTGTCTCATGCACTGGTGACCATGCTGAGGGTGAGAACACTGTTGGTGGCTACATTCTTTGGATAATGTCTAGATTGCCATGAGTATGACCAGACTGAGCCAATGCCCTCCATCCTTACCTGTGTTCTACACTTCAACAGTGGACGCATATGACGGTTGGACTACCAGGAGTTAGGATCTTGCTCACTTCCATGGACCTTATAGACTCTCTAATATCTTTTTCTGCTCTGAGGTTGTGAGGAGGATGAAGAGAAGTAGAAAGTGGAGGAAGCTTGAACTGAACAGGTGGACACCCTACTGGCTCCAGAAGCCTTGGCAGGCCCTAACAACACTTGATGGTGCCTCTCCCTCTAAGGTGGTGCCTCTCCCCCTAAGGCTCCCCCTCCCTGTAGCGGTTCTCACTCATCTCCAGGGCCTCATGGGCTTGAAGAAGGCAGAGACTGCAGGCACCGACATTAGAGATTGTATAATAAGCGTTGGCTCTCAGGGAATAGAACCTTTTACGAATGGAAGACTGCATCTTCAGTCATTTGGCTTTCAACCACTTTTCTGGACTGCATGATGTAGACAAGTGGTAGACTGCTAAAAGCCTTCATTATGGAATGATGTTTCTAACCATGTGGGATTTTTTTGTTTTCATTTCAGAAGAAAATCTAACATTAGTATCAGTCAACAAATTATAATAAGCCTGCTAGAATGTTCATTGTGTCTTGGCAGCAAGGGAAGATGTGAAAACTAAATTGATGTTTGTGCCCAAGTGAGAGCATATTATTTTGGCTGTATTTCCATATGATTAAGCTGCATCCTCTATGCCCACCATTTTGCCATCCCAGAAGAAACAAATCTGGTCTTGAATCATTGTTAAATATTCTCTCATTGCTCTAATAATAGAAATGTTTAAGACAAGTTAGAAACATCCAGCCCACAGTTCCTGCTTCATTTTACATCTTAGTGATTATTTTCAAGTACAGCCAAAACATCCAGATGGAGAGTCAACTATCTGGTCTATGATCCAGATGTGTTTCGTCTAGACATCTACATATATCCGCAAAACAGCTGGATAACCGAAGACTATTTATTCATCTTAATTTACTGGCTTTGGATAGACACTCTATCTAAATACAGAGCTTGATTTATGGTTGTAAAAATTACACAGTAGTTGAAAAGATATATGCAGAGAAGTTTTTCTGCCAACTCAGTGGAAGATAAATACCATCGGTGCATCAGTAGAACTATTCTTGGCAAGTAACTATTATTCAGCTCTCCATTGTCATCTGTTAAAAAAATAGAACAAGAAGTGAGGAGATAACAGTGCTACTCTTTACTTTTTCTAACATCAATAGAGAAGCAATAGTATCATAGTGTCAAAAATTTTTCATAGACAAATGAATTTTTTTTTTTGGAGATGGAGTCTCACTCTGTCACCCAGGTTGGAGTGCAGTGGCACAGTCTCGGCTCACCGCAACCTCTGCCTCCGGGTTCAAGTGATTTTCCTGCCTCAGCCTCCCAAGTAGCTGGGACTACAGGTGCCCGCCACCACACCCAGCTAATTTTTCTATTTTTAGTAGACACGGAGCTTCACCATATTGGTCAGGCTGGTCTTGAATTCCTGACCTTGTGATCCTCCCACCTCAGCCTCCCAAAGTGTTGGGATTACAGGCGTGAGCCACCACGCCTGGCCAACCAGTAATCTTTTACCTCCTACTTTGGCTAGTATTTCCTTGCAAGTAAAGGTGGGTGGGTCTTACCCTTCCTCTGGTCTACATTGACAGATTTCATAAATAAAATTCAGGACAATCAGTTAAATTTGAATTTAAGAGAAATAATGATTAATTTCTTTATTGTAAATATGTCCCTGGCATTATTTAGGTCATACTTACACTAAAAATGTTTGTCAGAAATTCAAATGTAACTGGTCATCCTGTATTTTATCTGGCAACCCTGCTCTGGTTTAACTCTGGTTTCTATAGTAATCGATTTAATAAATAACTACTCCCATGTGGGTTGACTTTCTTTGTGCAAGGGATAACTCAATATGCTGTGGTGGATACGAAAACAACAACACAAGGAGCATACAGCTGTAAAGTGTATAATCTAGTAGCAGATATGACGTGTTTGAATGTAGAATGCAGTAAATTGTGCTACTCACATTCATCTGAGTCAAAAGACCAAGAAACAATTATAGAGGCATTTGCTATGTGCTATAAGGAATTACAATGGGATGTGAGATGGGGGAAAAGGCAAGCAGCGTTCCTGACCAAGGAAACCAGGAATGGTACTATGAACATCTGAGAAGGCCCTGAAGCAGAATTTCAATGAAGAGAATACGACCAGTGGATGGTGGTAGAAAGGCACAGGGAATGTTCCAGAAACATTAAGTGGACAGTTTGACTGGGGTATGAGCTGTGGGCAGTAAAGGGAAAGAAATGTGGAGGGCAGTGAAGCTGGAGAGACAGACTGGGGTCCATCCAAAAGGCCTTAAATACCAAGGTACAGAGACTGAACTCTGTTCCACAAGCAACTTGCCTCTGAATAGAGGAATAGAGGAAAGTGAGAGCATCGAGAGATCCAAAAGAGATGAAAGGAGAAAAGGCTCGTACCAAACATCTCAATGCAAGTGTGCAGCAGTTCATCTAATGTTGCTGCTTTCCCAAGGCCACTTGATCCCATGGTTATTTAGCCGTTGTCAAAAAACCAGAGACATTTTCAGCATCAGATAGACCATCTCCATAATCATGCAAGTCAGTGACGTTAGTGCCTAGTGGTGACCTGTCCTTAGTTGTACTTCAAGAAAACTCTAAAAAAAATTTAAAAATTAAAAAAACAAGAGAAAGTTATTAGACTAGAGTTCAGACCCCATTAGAGCATCACATGCCAACCTGAAAAGATAATGACTTCCATAGACAGTATCTTTCTACAAGAAAAGTATCAGTGACTGAGATTACATCAACCTTTATGATGCCAAAATTACCTGCTAAGCTGTTCCTGGGGATGGATGGTGCTTGGAGACCATGGAAATGTTCCCTGTTATATACCATTCCATTTCACAGCTAAAATTTTTTAATGCAATGTTTTATACTTTCCTCATATCTTTTTTTTGTTTTGTTTTGAGACAAAGTCTCACTTTGTCACCCAGGCTGGAGTGCAGGAGTGCAGTAGTGTGATCTCGGTTCACTGCAGCCTCGACCTCCCGGGTTCAAGCAATTCTCCCACTTCTGACCCCCCAGTAGCTGGGACTACAGGCACACATCACCACTCCTGGCTTCTTTTTTTTTTTTTTTTTTTTTGTAGAAATGGGGTTTTGCCATATTTCCCAGGCTGGTCTTGAACTCCTGACCTCAAGTGATCTACCTACCTCAACTTTTCAAAGCGCTAGGACTACAGGTGTGAGCCACTGTGCCCAGCCACCTTTCCTCATATTCTTAAGTGATAAGATATTCAAGAATATTATAAATGTTACTTGGTTTAATATTAATAAAAGAATATGTAAGGAAAAAAATTTTAGATGCAAATATATTTATAAACATTATCCTCAGTGATTCATAAATATTCAACAACTATAAAAAATTCTACTTGCCTGAGAGTAAGATTATTCTTTGCAGTGGTAAAAATACTACTGTTAATTTATTGAACACCCACATTATGTACTATGCACCATTCCAAATGTTTTGCATATATTGTCGAACTTGACCTTCACAACAATGCTGTGAGGTAGTAATTATTATTTCCAGTTAACAGATGAGTTGATGGGATTCAGAGTGATTTAGCAACTTACCCAAAACCATACAATTATTAAGGCCTAGAATCAGGACTCCACTATAAAATAAAGCGTCTGTGTTCCCTTTCTTCTTACTACTTCTACAAGCATGGATATCACAAACCATCATAGTTTTGCCTGCTAATCTAGTGTAAAGGGTATCACTCCTCCACATCATCTCAGAAAGAAGATGTAAGGCAGATTATCTGTTACAGAGGTAGAAAGAATATGTGGGGATGACAGCTATCCCATTTGCCAGCACTGTTGTGAGGAAAACATGATTGGCAATAGCCTCTTCTAGTTGCTTACACTCAAAAGCATCACTGCTGGGTAGACATCATCACTTGATTTTACAGAGCAGGTCCTTGATGCCAGGTCCCCACAGGACTTGGAGCAGGACGGAGGCTGTCATGATGTAAGACATTTATCCACTTTAGATATTTTAGTAGGTAAATGCAGCCATTGAGGATTCATCTCATGAGCTGTTGAAAGTCAATGTCTATTTTACTCTCGAACTTTATTTATTCAACTGGCAATCACTGAGCACCTGGCCTATGCCAGGCACTTGGTTAGGCATTGAGGCTGCCAAGATGAATAAATCATTGTCCCATTCTTACCTTCAACAGGCTCATAGTCAACTTCAGAAAACAAACATGTGAATGAATAGGAAAAAATACCTAATGTCCATATGATGGTTGTATTAGTTCAGTGAGACCACGGGAGTGACATTGGAATGAGTCTGTTCACCAGGCACATAACTCTGGGGGGAAAATGTTTGCCCTCTATTCATTCTGTGAAAGAACCAGATTCCTGTGCTGAAGGTAGCATTCTTAGAACATAAAATAAAGGGTTATTTCAAGTGTTCAATAAAAACAGCAGAAACGCTGGATCAAATGTTCTCCCAATTCTGCTGCTCAAATGATTTGTGAAAGCAGATTATTAAAGTCATCTGGAACTAACTCTTTTATATCTTTCAACAAAGTTACCTTACCTGTAAGGCCTTTCTTGCCCTATTTTTTTTTTTTTTTGTCGCCCAGGCTGGAGTGCAGTGGCCGGATCTCAGCTCACTGCAAGCTCCGCCTCCCGGGTTTACGCCATTCTCCTGCCTCAGCCTCCCGAGTAGCTGGGATTACAGGTGCCTGCCACCTCACCCGGCTAGTTTTTTGTATTTTTTAGTAGAGACAGGGTTTCACCGGGTTAGCCAGGATGGTCTCGATCTCCTGACCTTGTGATCCACCCGTCTCGGCCTCCCAAAGTGCTGGGATTACAGGCTTGAGCCACCGCGCCCGGCTCTTGCCCTATTTAAAACAACGCACCTCTCAGCTCTCACCCACCTCTCACTTGGCATGTCCTACCACCCTTCCTGGATTTATTTTTCTTCATAACACTTAACACTATCTGGCAAACTATATGTTTTACTTGTTTATTTGTTTTTAAATCTCTGTAGTGCCATAAACATAAGCTCCAAGATTGTAGAGGTTTTTGTGTTTGTTCTCTGGTATACTCCTTAACGCCTAAGGTTTTGCTTCTCACATAAAAGATACTCAAAAATTATTCACTAAATTAATGAATGAGTGGATTAATGGATGAGGAAATAAATATCATGAAACTTGTCACAGGTTTGTCTTTGAATATATTTATGTGAGTGTGTATAGATACCATATATTTTTAAGAGACTTTTTAAAGTTTGTTTACTAAATCAGCTTTAAGTAAACATCACTGGAACAAAAATTTCTGCCAGTTTTCTAAACTTAATATAATCGCCTCTATTAATCATGAGAACTTGCCTTTTCCAAGACATTCTGGGGCAGAACTTCTCTGATTCCTCTAATGTCAACTCTATCAGTACCCTTAAAAGTCAAGATTGAACAATTAACAAGTTTGATTACCTTCAGGTGTATACAGACTTTTTTTTTTATCCTGTTACTCACTGAACAGTAGACATATTACTTAGAACAAATAGGCCTAGACTAAACTTGTTTCTCAATTCGAAACCAAAATTATTCAACTGAGCTGTTTGGGGAAGGTGTTGACGTCCCCATAAGGGGTTAGAGATAACCTGGAACCAAAGACTCATCACCATGTTTAGGGTTATATTTCTGATCTGCAAAGAAACTGGCACATCATGGGCCAGGTGGGCCAGGCTATCAGGTTACAATCTGTTTCTGCAATCAGTAGATGTGTCTGAGTCTCTGCTCCGCCTTCTGTCACCTGCACATTTACCTGAGATCTCATTTCCTACGTGTGGACATTATTGTGTCTACAACTGCCTTTTTCAAAACAAGGCTTCTTTATTACAAAAGCAATATACACTTATTATTTAAAATAGGACATTAAGGAAAAAGTTATCCTTAATCTCATCATCCAAAGATAACTCCTATTAACATCATAGCATGTTTCTTTTAGTTTCTCTAGGCATATTTATTTTTTTATGAGAATTCTTACATAATTTATGACAATTTAAAGAAACACTTACCTGTTGTTTCCATACAGATAGAGTTCCAAATCTGAAATAATTTTAAGGGCAGTTAGCACCATTGGGAAATGCACAGAAGAAGCAGTCTGTAGAACTGGTTTATTCAACCTGAATGGTAAGTACTTTGGAGAACCTGACAAAAGAACAGAAAGAAGCCGCCGTACAGAATTAGATCACGATAACCCCAAAGAATCCACATTGTGTTAAAGCATTTTCAAAAACTTTGAGTTATAGGTGGTATTTGAGATTTTGTCTAAACTTCACCCACAACATCAATTAACAAGGGCAAATATTCAAAATAGTTATTTGGTAACACAATTTTTTTTTAATCAAGTAAGCTTTTTTCAGCCTATTAAAAACCCACACATGGGACAAAGCCAAGTTCTACATACATAGTATAAACTGCTATTTCATGCAAATGTACTTTTATCAGTGGATTACTCATTAAGAATTTCCAAACACTGACTTTGAAATGTTAGTAAATACTTAAAACAGTCTGTGGTCGTGATCACTAAACTCTGACCCTAAATCACTACTGATTGTCTCAACACGAATGTCAATGTTATTTTAGAGCAGGTTGTTTAGTCTCCCAGTGGGGACTTAAGGACTTGCTGTTTGTTTAGGACTTGCCGTAGTGTTGATAGGTGCTCTCCGGCTGCGATGAAAATTATTGCTCTCCAGCATAGACATTTTCTCCCAAGTCTGAAAGGGACACAATAAGCCAAATTTCTCCCAGGGTTTGAATTATTTCTAAAAGAAAAGTGTTATTTTTAAAGGGCAATGGAGTTTTGTTGGGTGTGATTTCAAAGGCTATGATATGTTCCTGTAGCAAAAGGACGTCCATTAACATGACTTGTGAAGCCTCTGTTGTCAAAAAACATCCTTCTGAGGTTGCCTAAGACAATGAGAGCTGTGCTCCCAATTTTAGAAATAATAAAAGGAAGCCAATTCCACGAAACTGATCATTAACGGATAAAAATGAGCATACCAGGCTCTTGACTCAGAACCTCTCCATTAAAAAAAATTGGGTTTCAACATTAGGTAACCGAATGGGGAAAGTCTGACTTATCTCTGAGTAAAATGCCATAATGCTGTGTACTTTATTAGACTGTTTAAGGAGTTAGTGAGGTCACATAAAGTGAATCCATCATGGAGCCTACAGAATGCTGAGTGCTCAATGTGAAGCTCACACTACTTCTTCCCTTCTCATATTAAAAGTCTTTTAAGTTGAGGCCTGAAGTAGTGGACCAATTTGTAGAAGTGACAGGGAGAGAGATGTTCATTTAGAGAAGAGAAAAGATATTCTAAGAAAAAATACGGTGACACTGGAGCACCTATTAGTGGGCCAGGGAGCCTCACCAGCAAGGGACTCCAATTCCCAAAGGTTTTCAAGTCAAAGTTAGGTCATAACTGTCAGAGATGTTGTAGACTAAATTCCCAGACGGTGTCTAGGAAGTATGCCAAAATGACAGGGAAGCTTTCTCCTGGCTCTAGAATTGTAGGATTTATAAGGTGAAATACTGTAACTAGTAAGTGTTTAACAAATCGTTTTGAAATGATGTTGGCCATATTAGAACTTTCAACAATTGTCTTGTCTATCATATTATCTCTATTCCAAGATAAAAGAATTTCTTGAAGATCCTTCACTGCTAATGGCAGTTATTATCTTTATGCATAAATGGCTACATAAATATCTTTACATTTATACGACCTCCATATGGAGACAAAGAGATTTTTCTAAATGACTATAAAACAAGTGGTAATTGTTACAAACCTTGAATCTTAAAGATTAATGCCAAAGATGTCAGCATTCATTGTTCTGGAAATATACAAACTTAATTTCTCTTTATCACCACAGACGAGATTTTTTTAAAAGTTCTGTGATTATATTACCTGATACTCCATAGGAGAATTGAGATTGAGTTTAGTAAATGAAATGATAATTAAAACTCTGAAAGATAATTAATTTTTTTGATAATACTTACCAAGGATCTACTAGACACCAGACACTGAACAGAACACTAGAGTGGCTGGTAGAAGGGGCTGGTGTTGGGGAAGGGAAGGATAAATGGATAAGCAAGACAGACACAATCCTTGCCTATATAGTCTAGCAAAGAATGAAAGGAAGAATTACAATAAAATATCCTATGGAGCACAGAGCAGGTAGGGAGGGGCACTAATTTAGTCTAGAAGCCTGAGGAGTTTTAGCTTGGTAAAGAAGATGGCAATTACGAGAAATCGAAAAGACATTTAGAATGACTAAAGTGTTATGGCAAGAGATGAGACTAAAAAGTCAGTAGAAGTAGCCCATGACAGTATTGTAAGCTTTAGTAAGGAGTATATACTTTATCCAAAGGGCAACAGGAAGCCATTGTTTGAAAGGAGAGTGGCATGATCATATCTGGATTTTCTTTTTTTCTTTTTTTTTGAGAAGGTCTCGCTCTGTTACCCAGGCTGGAGTGCAGTGGCGTGATCTCAGCTCACTGCAACCTCCGCCTCCCAGGTTCAAGTGATCCTCCCACCTCAGCCTCCCAAGTAGCTGAGATTACAAGCATGTGTTACCACACCTGGCTAATTTTTGTATTTTTAGTAGAGATGGACATTTCCCCATGTTGGCCAGGCTGGTCTCAAACTCCTGACCTCAAGGATCCACCCACCTCGGCCTCCCAAAGGGCTGGGATTATAGGCATGAGCCACCGCACCCTGCCTGATTTTCTTATTATTTCATTTCCAATGGTATCTTAACACCCTCTTCACCATATCAAGCAAAGCTGGGTGAAATGGGAGCTAGGATCTGTGCCCTGGTGAGGACACCACCTAACAAATGCCAGCCCTGTTTTAGTTCCGAGGCTCGGAGTTATGGAAAGTGTGACTAGATCATAATAATAAAAACTCAGAATTGCTTCTTGAATGCAGGGGAGGTTTATATACATTGTTCCAGAAGTTATCTGAAATAATTTTAGAAACATGACATGGGTGGGTGATACAATAGACCAAAGAACAAGGAACACTAAACTTCCTCTCAACAACAACAACCAAACAAAAGAAAACCTCCAGGAGAAGAGAAACCTCAGCCTAGCCTTCTACTCTTGACAGAAATAATCCTGATAATTCTGGTTCCTTTCTTCTCTTTTCGGATTGGCTTTTGTACATTTTCTCCTCTTGATAAACCTCAGAACTGTATCCATCATACCTTCTGGCAGATGACTGTGTCTCCTTTTTAGAGTAAACGGAAGTTGCCAGACAGAAACTTCCTTGACTTCCTTCCATAAAAATGACAACTTTACCTACATGAATGCCCTTTTTTGGGGTCTCTCCTGCTATTGCATTGAAAGAAGTGGCCCTCTTCTTTACTCAAGGTCATCCCTCCACCTGTGCATGGATCCCTTACTCTTGTCCTCCCAGGGACCATGTTACATGAATTAACTTCTCACTCTTTTGCCTCTTCCTCCAATATTTATTTTTCCTGCTAAATCTTAGCACTTAAAGATGCCCAGGTCTTAACTCAGAAGTCTGTAGTGGATATCTAGAAGTTAACTCAAAATTTCTCCTTGATATGATCAAGGGAAATCATTGAAAACAAAATTTCTCCTTGGAGTCTCAGGCATCTCTAAATCAATACGGCCAAAATGAACTCATCATTTTCCTCCCATAAACTTCCTTCTCCTCCCCTCCACTCTCAATTTCTCAATTGCAGGAGAATAACACCATCACCCAACCAAATATCTAGCTAGAAATCTGGGAATTACCTTTGATTCTGATCATTCCCCATAGCCAAAGGATCAGTAAATCTTTCTGAATCTATTTTCAAAAGAAATTCTGCAACCAACCACTTCTTTCCCATCTCCATGGACACATGCTGGTTTAGACAACCATCATCTCTTGCCTGAATGATTTTAACCAATTACTAACTGGTTTCCCCATCCTCAGTATAAGTCTTTACTACCATGTATTCTCCATTCTGCAGCTGGAAGAATCCAGATATGGGCCAAGCACAGTGGCTCATTCCTGTAATCCCAGCACTTTGGGAGGCCGAGGCGGGTGAATCACTTGAGGTCAGGAGTTTGAGACCAGCCTGGCCAACATGGTGAAACCCCATCTGTAATAAAAATACAAAAAGTAGCCAGGCATAGTGGTGCATGCCTGTAATCCCAGTTGCTTGGGAGGCTGAGGCAGGAGAATCGCCAAACCTGGGAGGCGGAGGTTGCAGGGAGTTGAGATCCTGCTACTGCACTCCAGCCTGGGCAACAGAGAGAGATTCATTTCTCTCCCATCCTTTGACTTGATCCAAAATATTTCATTCTGGTAACTACCACCTGAGCCACCTTTCTTATGATCCCCACCTTCCCTAATAGGCTTTCTGTATCTCTGCCCCACCACTCATGCTCTCCAATGCTCTCATTAACTGAGTCTCGCTCTGCCACCCAGGCTGGAGTGCAGTGGTGTGATCTCGGCTCACTTCAACCTCTGTCCCCCAGTTTCAAGCAGTTCTCCTACCTCAGTCTTCCGAGTAGCTGGGTTTACAGGTGCACACCACCATGCTCGGCTAATTTTTGTATTTTTAGTAGAGATGGGGTTTCACCATGTTGGCCAGGATGGTCCTGAACTGCTGACCTCAAGTGATCTGCCCACCTTGGCCTCCCAAAGTGCTGGGATTATAGGCATGAGCCACTGTGCCTGGCCTCAGTTGACTATATTTGAAATTCTTTGTTTATTTCTGCATTGGTCTTGTTTCTGTTTAAATTTTCCCGCTCATTCCTTTCAAGTTCACTCCTCTGTTCTTTGGATTTCTCTTTCTACTTCATTTTCTTCAATCAGGTGTTCTTCCCAGTGTGCTCTACCAAAGTCATACTGTCATCACTGTCAAACTTGTTTCTATCACAAACCTACTGGGATAGTACGAATATAAGAAATGGGCCCGGTGCTCATGGCAAAGTTCATTCTTTGTAAATGGACCACAACTGATGGCATGAAGACTAAAATCTCCCATATTTATGGATGGTGAAGCAGTATCTCCAAGGGTTATTTAACAATGACAGCAGGAAGGAGCCATGGTTAATACAGTAATTTTCAACTCTAAAAGAAATTTTTTGTCCTTCTTGCATTGGGTGTGTTTATTTAATGTGATAATAG